TTGAATATATTCTCTAACACTTGCTCATTTTCTTCTTTTTCATGGACTCCTATGATGCGAATATTATTCCATTTTCAGTTGTCTCACAGTTCTCTTAAGCTGTCTTCCTGTTTTTTAATTGTTTTTTCCTTTTGGTTTTCTGAGTGGTTGATTTTTTTCTACACTGTCTTCTAATTCACTGATCATGCCCTCAGCTTCCCCTACTCTGCTTTTTAGACCTTCCAATGTGTTTTTCATTTCTGATATGTCATTCTTTATTTCTTCTTGTTGGTTTTTAATTTCCAACTGTTCGATTTTCAACATTTCTATGTCTTTACTCATGGTGCTCATATCCTTACACATGTTGTTGAGCTTCGTCAACATCATGGCTCTAAATTCTAGTTCTGTTAACTTGCTTAACTGCACCTCATTTATCTCATCTTCCGTAGAGGTCTCTTGTTCTTTCATTTGGCTTTTGTTTCTGTTTTTCATCATTTTGGCTATCATAGTGGGCTTTGGAATCTGCCAAAATTTCCCTGTGGGTGTTGGTGTTGTGCTGTTTGTGGCTCCCTCTCCTGGGTTTGGATGAGGCAGGGAGGACCCACTTTAAATACCACTGTCAAATCTTAGCTTTTTTGTTTAGTGTTGCTAGCCCAGGGAATGGTAGTTATTCTCTAGCTTTTTTTGCCTGGAGGCTATTAGCAGGGGTCACCTGAAGATCCTTGGTTTCTGAGTTGCCTGAAAAACTCCCTCAGGTGCTCAGTGTAAGAGGACTTCCTGAGGATGGGGCTGCTGCTGTTTGTTAATGGGCCTCAATTAGCATTTCATTGGCCACCAGGTGGGGTTGCATCTCTGAGGGAGGGGCCTCCGCATCTCCCCAGGGCCCTAGGAAGGTGTAAAATGACCACAGTCCTGCGTGGCTGCACTCAGCAAAAGCTCTTAACACACTCCAAAACCCGAGTGTCCCCACACAGTTCCAGTCCAGTCTGCGTTCACTGTGCCGGATCCCATTGTGAGTGGTTGCTGCTAATTGAGCCTCTGTCTAGACTCTGAGTAATGGAGCTGCCTGGGACTTTTAACCCAATGGCGCTGCTTCCAGGCAAGTGCGGCCACGACTTTGGCACCAGCCGAGGGCTTTGCACTCAGCAGAAACCCCAGGAATAAGCCGCGGTAGCGGGACACTGCCGAGGTGGCAGCAGCTTCCAGCAGAGTCCCCTGATCCTGGCGAGTTTGGGGCACTAGCCGAGGTCTTAGCCCGCAGACTTCACAGGACTCAGCAGGGGTCGCAGCCGAGGTGGCAGCAACCTCCCGCTGAGTCCCCTTGTCACAGCCAGTCCGTGCCAGTCTATGTAGCAACAGCTGAGGGCTTATCAGGCAGTAGAGTTTGCAGGACTCAGCGGGATCGCAGCCGAAGTGGCAGCAGCTTCCCGTCATGTCCCCTGGTCCCCGCCCAGGCCGCTGCAGACCACGGGCTCCCGGCCCCCTCTCGCGTGCTCGCAAGCCTACCAGGATTGAGTCGGTGTCCTTGGTGATGTGGTCCTCCAAGGTGTCTTTCGGTTGCCCCTTCCTGACGATTTGCCTTTATTTTCGTTGTAAATCCAGTTTGGTCCTGGGAGATGGTCTGTGTAGCTCCATTCACTCTGCCACCCTTTTTTGCTTTTATTTCTCTATTTCTTAACTCCATTGATTATACTGATGAATTCTTTCCCATTTCCAAGGAAATCATTTTCTAATGTCATGTTATATGGTTCAGAATCAAAAACAAGTGTAGAAAGTGTCCCAATCTGTTACACAGTAGCAAAACTCTTAATATTGAAATGGACAAGTACAAGTACCTGTGTGACCAGTATCGTTTATAAACTTAGATGCTGAAGCTTATAAAACACGTCATTATAAGGAATACTTGAAAAATTCCTAAAGAAAACCAAGATAGAGAGAATCCAAATACACAAAACAAGAAATGAAAGAGGAGAAGTAACAACCAACACCATGGAAATACAAAAGATCATTAACAACTACTATGAACAACTATATGGCAACAAATTCAACAATCTAAGCGAAATGGACAAATTTCTAGAAACACACAGTCTCCCAAAACTATTCCCAGAAGAGATAGAAAACTTGAACAGACCAATAACAACTAAGGAAATTGAAGAAGTAATCAAGACTCTCCCAGCAAACAAAAGCCCAGACCCAGATGGCTTCACGGGGAGTTTTACCGAACATTCAAAAAAGAACTAACACCCATTCTCCTCAAACTCTTTCAAAAAATTCAAGAAGAAGGAAGACTTCCAAACTCGTTCTATGAAGCCAGCATAATTCTAATTCCAAAACCAGAAAAAAGACACTATAAGGAAAGAAAACTACAGGCCAATATCCCTGATGAACATAGATGCCAAAATCCTGAACAAAATATTAGCAAATCGGATCCAGAAATACATCAAAAAAATTACTCACCATGACCAAGTGGGATTCATTCCAGGGATGGAAGGCTGGTACAATATTCGCAAATCAATAAACGTGATACACCACATAAACAAAATGAAGAATAAAAACCACATGATCATATCAATAGATGCTGATAAAGCATTCGACAAAATCCAGCATCCATTTCTGATAAAAACGCTCAGCAATGTAAGAATAGAGGGATCATATCTCAACATAATAAAGGCCATATATGAAAGACCTACAGCCAACATCATACTCAATGGACAGAAACTAAAAACATTTCCATTAAGAACAGGAACAAGACAGGGATGTCCACTTTTGCCACTCTTATTTACCATTGTACTGGAAGTCTTAGCCACAGCAATCAGACATGAAGAAAAAATAAAAGGGATCCAAATTGGAAAGGAGGAAGTGAAACTGTCATTATTTGCAGATGACATGATATTGTACATAGAAAACCCTAAAGACTCCATCAAAAATCTACCAGATTTAATAAATGAATTTGGCAAAGTAGCAGGATACAAAATTAACATCAAGAAATCAACGGCATTCTTGTACACCAATGATGAACTCACAGAAAGAGAAACTGAAAAAACAATGCCATTTACCATCTCGCCAAAAAAATTACGATACCTAGGAATAAACTTAACCAAAGAAGTAAAGGACCTATTAGCCTGTAGAAAACTACAGGTCATTGAAAAAAGAAATAGAGGAAGATATAAAAAAGTGGAAGTACATACCCTGTTCATGGATTGGAAGAATTAACATAATGAAAAGGTCCATACTACCCAAAGCAATCTATAGATTCAATGCGATCCCCATCAAAATACCAACGACATATTTCATAGAACTAGAACAAATACTTCAAAAGTTCATATGGAACCAAAAAAGACCCTGAATAGCCACAGCAATCTTGAAAAAAAAGAACAAAGTAGGTGGGATCACAATACCAGATATCAGGTTATACTACAAAGCGACTGTAACCAAAACAGCCTGGTACTGGCACAAGAACAGGCATATAGACCAGTGGAACAGAACTGAAAACCCAGAAATGGACCCAAGGCAATACGCTCAATTAATGTTTGACAAAGGTGGCAAGAGCATACAGTGGAGTAAAGACAGCCTCTTTAATAAATGGTGTTGGGAAAATTGGACAGCTACATGCAAAAAAATGAAACTAGACCATCAACTTACACCATACACTAAAATAAACTCAAAATGGATAAAAGACTTAAATGTGACCCGTGAATCCATAAAAATTCTAGAAGAAAATGTAGGCAACAAAATTTCGGACATCATACGGAGCAGAATTTTCACTGATACATCACCTAAGGCAACAGAAATAAAGGAGAAAATGAACACATGGGACTACATCAAACTAAAAAGCTTCTGCACAACAAAAGAAACAATCATCAAAATGGAAAGGCAACCCATTGAATGGGAGAACATCATTGCCAATGATGTATCAGATAAGGGGTTAATTTCCAATACATATAGAGTGCTCATACAACTCCACAAAAGGAAGACAAAGAACCCAATTAAAAAATGGGCAGAGGAGCTGAATAGATACCTCTCCAAACAGGACATACAAATGGCCAAAAGACATATGAAGAAATGCTCAACATCACTAATCATCAGAGAGATGCAAATTAAAACAACAATGAGGTATCACCTCACACCTGTCAGAATGGCCGCCATCAACAAATCATCAAACAACAAGTGTTGGCGAGGGTGTGGAGAAAAGGGGACTCTAATACACTGTTGGTGGTAATGCAGATTGGTGCAGCCACTATGGAAAGCAATATGGTGCTACCTGAAAAAATTAAAAATTGAACTTTCATTTGACCCAGTGATCCCACTGCTGGGAATATACCCTAAGAAGCCTGAAACACCAATCAGGAAGAATATATGTACCCCCATGTTCATAGCAGCACCATTTACAATAGCTAAGATCTGGAAACAGCCCAAGTGTCCACCAGTAGACGAATGGATAAAAAAGCTGTGGTACATATACACAATGGAGTACTATGCAGTGGTAAGAAAGAAAGATCTCTTATCCTTTGAGACGACATGGAGGGACCTGGAAAGTATTATCCTAAGTGAAAGAAGCCAAGCAGAAAAAGACAAATACCACATGATCTCACTTATATACCGAATATAATGAACATAACAGTCTGAGGAATACAGTAGACCCAGAAACATGGAAGTAGGGCACAGACTGACATCCCTCAGAAGAGGGGGTGGGGGGTGGGGGGTGGGAAGAGGTAAACCACAGAACTTATATGCATGTATGCATGACCAATGGACATGGACAACTAAGCCGGGGACAGTGCGGAGGTGGGGTGGAGGGTGCCAATGGGGTAAAAAGGTAAAATATCTGTAACAAAAAATAAATAAAAATTCATAAAAAAATAAAATTAAAAAAAAAAAGAAAGAAAACCAAGATGAATTTCTAAATCATAAGAAGAGCCTAAATACACAACAACCATTATTGACCCAACACACCCCGGGCCTCACTACATAGAATGCTGTCTGGTCTCTCCTCAAACACAGAATGGAAAACAGACCTCACTTCATGCCCAGCAAGTGAAGCTGATGAATGTGGTCCGAAATCTGCCTGAATGCAACTCTGGCTCAGGCCCAGTGTTCCTCATTGCATCAGGCCCTTCAGGCAGGGAAGGAAGGGAACTGGGATCCCTATCATTAACACTGAGTAAGAACTTGAGGGCCTTTAACTCGGTGGTCTCAGCGTAAGCCCTCGGACCCCAGAATAACTCATAGCATGCAGGATCACTGTTGGGCACCTGGCAGTACACCAGGCATTCTTCCTGCACACAAACTTTAGTGATAAGCTCCCTGGAATCCCCATAGATCCAATGTTCCTTCCCGTCATGCACCCCTATGACATCCAGTGCTTCCCAGACTACTTCCTCAGGGGCACAATCACCCTCTGTGGCGATCACCCACAGAAGTGTGACCAGGAGGCCAGTGTTGGGAAATCTGTGCCCACCGCTCACTATTCCATCATAAGTGAGGCCCAAGGTGGTGACCAGGACATAGGAGTGGTCAATGGGGTCCCCTTTCTTCACATCAATGCCAAAGACCAGCTGTATGCACTCAGAGGCTGCACTGAAGATCACATTGAAGTGGTCCTGGTACTCTTTGATGACCCTACTCAGCATTTCTGCCTTTGTGGTCAACTCCTTTGCACGATACTTCAGGAGCAGGAACTTCACCATTTCTGTCATCTTGAAACTCAGGGCTTTTTGAGCAAGGAATCAGCATCATCTTCCGGGACTCCCCAAGTGCTTGGCCCTTCCTCCTCTTGGCTGCTGGAGCCCTCATCTTCAGATTGGCTCCATGGAATGGCTGCCATGGCATGGGGGAAGAATCAGGCATTCTGAGGGCTCTGGGGAGGACTCGGTGTCTCATCAGAAGACACCTCCTCTATGCTGTCTAAAAACAGGATGGTGGGGGAGGAAGATTCCGAGGAGACGGGAGACACAGCCTCCTCCTCCTCGTCCTCGGCCCAGAACAGCTCCACCTCCACCGGATCCTGGTTCTCTCCTGGGTCCTGATGGTCTTCCTCAAGTTCGCAGAGCTCACTTATCTGATCGCCAGGCATGATGACTTGTGCTGGGATATTGACAAAGTGTGAGCAGAAGGTGGAAGATGGGGAATCATGGGACTAAAAGAGAGGAAAAGTGTGAGGGGCCTCAGCTGAGAAACGTACCCTAGAGGGCTCTCAGGCCTCACAGGGGTGATTCCTGCTCAGCCTGTCCACTAAGAACCTGAAGTAGGAAGTGACATGACTGCTCAGGGTGCAGAAGGCACAGCCCAAGATTCTGAGGCTGACAGTAGGGTGTAGAGGTGTCAGACCCTGTGAGGTACCTCTGACCTGGGAGGGAGGCCACTAGTGGCCACTTCACCTTAACTCCTGGCACTGCCTGTCCTTCTGCTACTCTGTGACCTGAGAATGTGTAGCTCAGACCAAGGCATTCACCTCAAGAATCCCGAAGGGGCACCTAAGCATGCAGATGGCAAGCACAGCTCTGGGACTGCAGTGCTGACAGGAGGGGAGGCAGGACTCTGTGAGGTCACTGCCTTTGTGGGTGGGAGGTCCTGTGTTTGCACACTCAGGGTCCTCACCTTTCCCCTGCCAGGGCCTGGCCCCTCTCCCTCCCCCTGCTAGCCTGAGGCTAAAATCTCAGAATAAGAACACACACAGCCCTGACACTGAAGAGAAAAAAGTGAGGGGGTCCCACATCGGTTCACACCTGCTCAGAGCCTCCCAGGAGATCAAGAAGGAGTGACCACAGTTTTGGGTCCATCTATCCAGGAATAAGGTTCCGATCAGTTCTCACCATGACACCCTGGAGGGTCTCAGACACCTCTCTCTGCTGTCTGAGCCCACTCTACTTAGACTTAGGCTTCATCTCCACTAGATGCAGGAAAGGAAAGTGAGCTGAACCCACCCACATCCATGCACAATTCTGAGCTTCCCCGTGGCTGACCAAAGAGGCAGGGAAGGTCTGGGTTTCCATGTGCTCTGGTTCCCTCAGTCCTCACCTTGATTCCTGGCAAGCCCTGGAATCCTTCCCCAGCTGACCTGAGTCCAGATCTTCAGACCAAGCCTCCCCCCCCCGGCCTGAGAACACTGATCTGGAAATGAGGAGCTCAAGCTGACAGCTCTGTCTGTGATTTCCAAGGCTAACACTCAGAGAAAGGCAGATTTTTATGGGGCTCCCTCTTTGTTCTCAAGATTGGGACACCCACAGTCCTCCCTCAGGGTCCTCACCTTGATTTTTGGAAGGATCTGGGACTCCTCTCTCTGTTAACCAAACGTGGATCCTGGGGATGGCCTGACGCCGCCCTATCAGACCAAGATCTTCACCTTCCTGAGAGCTCTGAGACAAATATGAACAGGAGACCCATCAGCCTCCAACTCTGCCCAGGTTCCCCCGTGACGGAGAGCAGGGCCTGGGCTCGTCTGTTCCTGGTACAAAGTGCTCTTAGTCTGTCCTCAAGATACTTTCCTTTCTTCCTGACTAGGCCTCGACTGAAATTGAGCTGGCCCAGTTTCACCCTAAATAACTGTCCTCAATGAGAAGTGTTCGCAAGAAGCAAGTATGTGGAAAGGGAGAGCATGCCACACCCAGGTACCCCTTCCTGGGGACTCCAGATGGTGAGGACAGGGGGCTCCTTGATGCTGAGGGGTGTCTCTTCTCAGGGAACACGTTGCTAAGTTCTCCCCAAGGAAGGGTTCAGACCCTAATGACCCTTCCAAAACCTTGGCTCCTCTTTTCATGAACTGAAGCCATCCCTTCTGCCCAAGTCCCTCTCCTTCCTGAGTGCCCTGAGGCAAAAGTGAGGAGGAACCACCTGTGCAGATCCATGTCAGGGGTTTCCCCAGGGCTGACAGCAGCACAGAGTGGGTTTCGTCTCCCCTTGACCCCACTTTGTCTGCAGGGTGGTATCCTCCACCGTCTCCAAGGTATCCATGTTGCTGGTGGAATGCCTGGGACCTTTCCCTTCCACTGAACTGAGAATGCACACTGCAGGCCATGTCCAACTTCCTGAGAACTCCAAGGTGGACTTCAAGACACACCACATTGTCTATCATCTCCGAGCGACCCAGCTGCGCTAGCAGGGCCTAGGCCAGCTGGTCCCTGTTTTTGCTGGGGTGGGAGGTATCCTCATCCTGCTTCAAGACCCACATTCTGATCACTGGCAGAGCCTGGGGCTCCTGCCCTTGTTGCCCTGCATCCAGCACCTTGGGGACAATGCCCTCATCTCCCCTTGCCATTCCTCAGGAAAAAGTGTGGAAGCAACCTAAATCGACAGCCCTACCATGAGGCTCCCTAGTGCTGATGGTAGGAACACAGCACACTGGAGACACTTACAACATTGGCAAAACCTCAGGCACACTTCAAGGTGTGTTAGGGTGCCTTCTAAGTCCTGACTTGGGTCCTTACCTTGTGTCCTGGCAGAGCCTGGGCCTCCTTTTTCTGCCTACCTGGAGCCTGACCCCTCAGACCTCAGGAGTCTGAGTCCCCTAGTCTTCCCTCAGGATCCTCACTTTGACTCCTGGCTGGACCTGGGTCCTCCCCTCTACCAACCTGAGATGCCCAAGTCTGGAAGAAGGCATGCAAACACTGACCCAGGGCCTCCCAGGGTCCACAGCAGGGGTTTTGTAGGATCCTCTCTGTTGTGGGATCCAGGGTCCTTCAGTCTTCCCACAGGGTCCTCACCTTGACTCTATCAGGTTGTGGGCCTTCCTTCTGCCAACCTGAGACCCCGCTCCTTACACTGAACCCCAGAGCCTGTCAGATCAGAATGTGGTAATCAGTAAAGGTGCCTGTGGTCCCCCTGCCCTGCCATCCTCCCAGGGCTGACTACTCTGGTGTCCAGGTTTGCCCTTTCTCCTACAGCGTCCTCAACGGGACTGTGGCAGCACCTGGGGTCCTCCCCTCTGCTGCCTGAAGCCCTGCCCCTTACAGCAACCCCCGGTGTCTCTCAGACCCAGATACACAAGTCAGAAAACACCCTGAGTCTGTCCCTCCACCCACCCCCAGGAGGCCTGCAGGACTGATGCTGTTCCAGGTCCCAGATTCTCTGACCTCCGTCCGGTTCCTGATGTTGATCCGGGCAGGTCTGGGACCCTCAGTTTCTGAGCTGAGTCTCTGCCCCTACACGTGGCCCCCGCAGTGTCTCACACTGGATGACGCCAGGTCAGCACTCCCGGCTCGTTGGTATCCTGCCCGTGGGCGTCCCAAGACCGAGTACTTCAGGGTCCAGAGTCACGTTGTCTTCCCCGTGGTCCTCCCCTGAGCCCCGGCAGGTCCTGGGACCCTCACCCTGTTCACGGGGGGCTGGGCCCCAGACGGAGTCCCGCCAATGTGGAGACCCCAATGAAGTCTGAGGACATCGCTTCAGGCCACCAAGCCTGGGGATTCCCGGGGCTCCCGGCAGGGCTGAAGTAGGTGTCCTGGGGTCCCCCAGCCCTCCCTGTGGTCCTCACCTTGATTCCAGGCAACGTCTAGGTCTCTGCCGCTGACAACCTCGGGGTGCTCCCCTCAGACCTTGCCCTTGACCCCGAGGGCTCTGAGGAGGTGGGGGAGGGGTGTGGGAAATGGTACTTGGGTGGACAGCCAGCACCCTGGACCCTCAGTGCTGCCAGCAGGGGCAAGCCTGGACTCTGCGGGGACCCCGTCCCCCCTCAGGCTCGTACCTGGAGCATCTGCAGGACTGGGCTCCGTCCCACTGACCACGTGAGGCCGGCCTCCCAGCCTGGGTCCTCATCTGTCTCCGACTTCCCGAGTGGAAGTCAGTGGAGGGCACTTCCCGAAAGCAATTCTGGGGTCACCAAGGATTGTTACCAAGGGTGGAGCTGGATTCCACGCATGCCCAGCAATCCACCCTCTGGTCCCTACCTGGACCTGGATGACCTGGGATCCTGCCCTGTGCCGACCTGAATCTGTGCCCCTCAGACCAAGTGTCTGACTCCCAGGTCCCTGAGGAGGTGAGCGGAAGTGCTCAGCAGGACAGCTCTGCCCAAGGTACCCCAGATCTCACAGTAGCAGCAGAGTTGAGTTCTGTGGGGCCTACTGTTCAGGGGCTGCTGTACCATTCAGTCCATACTTTGGAGGGACCTCACAACCCTTGCATAGACCACCATAGTCTCATCACAGATCCTAGATGTGCAGCTTCAGAACCAAGGTCCCTGGGGGAGCATCAGAGGAAAACCACCCTCCACCCCCCTTCTCATTGTGTCTCTTCACCACACACACTGAAACTTTGGAAACCTTGGGTGCCAAAGGTTTCCTTTTTACTGACGACCCTGAGCTGCATCAGGGAATTGGGGCAGTCCTGTGGGTTTAAGATTATCTCTCTACCTTTGCTTGTCATTGCTTTTTATGCTCGATTCTCATTCACAGTAAATATTACATTTTACAACTCTACCTAGTTTGTATACATTTTATTGATATATACATGCATATATATGTATATATGTATAAATATATCTATATGTTTACATATGTAACCTAAATGTTGATCAGATGTGCTTATATACCCTTATATGTGCATACCACTTAAATAAATATGTGTGTGTGTGTGTGTGTGCATGCATGTTTTTGTCCTATATATTTACATACAATATGCCACACAAGTTATTTATGGAAGGATACGTGATCTTACCATGCATGATTTACTCTGATACTTGCTTTTCTACTTTTAGTCTATTCTTTGTATCCTATTGATACAGGCATTTTTTAAAGGCCAGTCCCTCACCCACATCCCTGCTCCCCCACACCACCACCTCAAACACATGTGCCAGCTCACCACTCTAGTCTTCTCCCAAGCCTTTCTCTATGT